TATGTAACAACCTAATGAAATGAAATGCAAGGGAAAAGCAGTAAATAAAAGCAGCTCGACCAAGGGCTCGATCGAGTAGAACAGAGTAACTGGGCTCGATCGAGTTGAAGTAAAAACAGAGGAAATGCAACAAAAAAAGCGATAAAGGTGCAAACTTTAGACTACTAATACGAAGGTTAGGGTCTAAGACAGGGTCCTGCGACTAGGGGAAGGCTATACTTAATCATTCTTGCTTAGTCGCGGTTTTGAATGTGGCAAAGTGACCTCCATAAGCAGACCCATAGCAATGCTCTAGAACTCCTTGTACATCTTCGTCAGCTATGCAACTTCTGTAAATGCTATTTGGTCCTCTCTTGTACAAGTAAGGCTCATCCCAATAGTAGGGCCTAACATCTTTGAAGAACTTCTTCCTCTGGTAAGCATCTTTTCACTCCCTTTTTGTCTACAACAAACTCCTGAAGCAATAGAATCCATCTGAGAAGCATGGGTTTTGTATCTTTCTTAGCAAAGATGTGCCTAAGAGCAGCATGATCTGTGTGGACAATCACTTTTGATCCAACCAAGTAACTTCAAAATTTCTCAAAGGCAAAGACTACAGCAAGGAGCTCCTTCTCTGTGGTTGCATACTTGCATTGAGCATCATCCATGGTTCTGCTTGCATAATAGATGACATTGAGCTTCTTGTCTATCTTTTGGCCAAGCACAGCTCCTACTGCATAGTCAGACGCATCACACATAATCTCGAATTGGTGATCCCATTTTGGAGCTTGAACAATCGGGGATGAAACCAGAGCATCCTTCAGCAAGGTCCAAGACTTATGGCATTCTTCATGAAACTCAAAATCCACTTCCTTGCATAGAAGTCTTGTCAATGGTCTTGCTATCTTGGAGAAATCCTTGATGAATCTTCTGGAAAACCTTGCATGACCCATAAAGCTCATGATGTCCTTCACAGTCTTAGGCACAGGAAGCTGCAACATCACGTCAACCTTAGCTCGATCGAGCTCGATCCCCTTCTCAGAAATTTTGTGTCTAAGAACGATTCCTTCTTGGACCATGAAGTTGCACTTCTCCCAGTTGAGCACCAGATTTGTCTCCTCACACCTCTGCAAGACCCTGCACAAGTTTGACAAACATGAGGAGAAGGATGCTCCATAGACTGAGAAATCGTCCATGAAGACTTCTACCATCTCATCTATCAGATCTCCAAAAAAATGGAAGTCATGCATCTCTGGAATGTAGTTGGGGCATTGCACAGCCCAAATGGCATCCTTCGATAGGCAAAGGTACCATAAGGGCATGTGAAAGTGGTCTTCTGATGATCGTTGGGATGGATCGGGATTTGGAAGAAACCACTATAACCATCAAGAAAACAATAGAAGGGATGGTTTGCCAATCTTTCAAGCATCTGATCAATGAAAGGAAGAGGAAAATGATCCTTTCTAAATGCAGAATTTAACTTCCTATAGTCTATACACATGCGATGCCCCATTATTGTTCTAGTGGGGATCAGCTCCTCTTTGTCATTCTTTATGACAGTGATTCCTCCCTTCTTTGGGACGCAGTGAACTGGAGATATCCAAGTGCTATCATTGATGGGATAAATGATCCCAGCATCAAGCAACTTAAGTATCTCTTTCTTCACTACTTCCTTTAGATTTGGGTTCAATCTCCTTTGAGGTTCAATGCTAGACTTACTTTCATCCTCTAAATGAATCCTATGAATGCATAAATCAGGAGAGATTCGCTTGATATCATCAAGAGTGTAGCCAATGACTTTCCTGTACTTTCTCTATTCAACAAGCAATGCATCCAATTGTTCAGTTTTTAGCTCAGAGTTCACAATGACAGGTGAAAACAGGATATGTTCGGAACCGGTCTGAAAGTGTCAAGGAGCCTAGAATACTCCTCAGTTTCTGAATGCAGATACCCTTCAGATTGATCCTTGGTGAGAGCAACATGCAAGTGGTCTTCCAAAGACACTTCCTCCAAAAGTTCATCCGCCAACTGATCCATTTCTTCAATGTAAAAGAGTTGACCTTCTATTGTTGGCTTCCTCATTGTATCCTTGATGTCAAACTTCATCTTTAGGTCTTTTCCAAGGTTCAGTTCTATTGTACCTTCACAGACATCTAGCATTGCTCTTGCTGTAGCTAAGAAAGGTCTCCCTAGTATCAAAGGGTCTGTTGGTTCTTCATCCATTTCAAGCACAATGAAGTCAATGGGGATTTCAATATTCCCTATCCTCAAAGGTAGATCTTCAAGCATCCCACTAGGCAGCCTTATTGATCTATCCGCACAAACAAGTGAGACACTAGACTCCACTTACACAATGCATTCAAATAACTCTCATCTCTTAACATTCAATTATCTCAGAATCGTGAATCAGTCACTTATGCATTTCAAAGACTTGTTTGGCTCAAAGGGTAGGTTTCAAGAGACAAAGATGGTCCCATTTTCTCTGGTTTTAAAATTCGGTACAAGGGATCTCTCAAAGAAGAAAGGTTGAGCTTTAGTAGAATGCTAACGGTAAAAACGAAGGATGATACAAGGCTAGACTCCCATCTACCCAAGAACAATGAAGTGCTATCCCCTGTTTCCCAAGAATCCTATCTACCCGAGAAGGCAAAACTCGCCTTGACCTTTTTAAGGAAATTCCTTTCTCTTTTCGTTGCTTTCAAGCCCTTAGGAGGGGTTTCTAAACTTCATCTAGCGGTTTGGGTCTTCTTTCACTTTTGGCTCTTAAACTCTTTTTCTAGACTTGGCTTTCCGCCTTTTTCTTTTCTTTTTATTGCTAGAGCTTTTTACTTTTTCCCCCAAACCTTTACTAGAGACTCAAACTTTCACAACTCTTCCCTCCAAAGAGACTCGGCTTTTATTTTCCCTTTTTGCGGGCTTTCTTTTTGAACTCTCTTCTTCCCCCTTTTTCCTCATTAAGAACTTCCCAACACCCCAAACTTAGTCCTAACTAGCTCAAGAGGACGAGCTAGAATCTATATGAGAACCTAGACCTTGTCGGTTGATGTACTTGCATTTTACATAGTTTTAGCACATCTTTTATGCATCTTTTGCATAGTTTTAGCTTCCATTTGCATCATATCTTGTTCCTTTTCTCTTCTTATGCATTCATGTTAGTTTTAGGTTGCATTTGCATACATATGCATGTTTGGTCCTTTGAAATAGGTCTTTTGGAGCATTCTGGAGCATATGGGACATGAGGAGCATGGAGGGACTTGGCACATGGAAGCAGCTCAACTGGACACGCAAAGGAAGAAGGGAGAAGCCATCTTGAAGACCAGCTCGACCGTCCACTCGACCAACCGGTCGAGTTCCTCAACTCGACCGGCCAAGCTTCAACTCGATCGAGCTGGAAGTCAAAGTCAAACCCGAAAAATGTTGCTTCCCCCTTGACTTTCCTTTGACCCTAAACCTAATCCTCTTGTATTTAAAGGCTCTAAGCCACGAAAAAACCACCAAGCTTTAGATTATTTTGTTTTAGTTTCTTTTAATTTATTGTCTTTTACTTTTTAGAGATCTAATCCCATCTTTGTGTTCTTGAAGCTCTTGCTTCTTGAATCCTAGATCCTGGATAATCTCTTTGTATTTGCACTTGCTTATTTCAATAAAAGTTGTTTAATTTCATCTCCTCTTTCTTATGATGTCTCTTTTATTGCATTTGCTTGTGTTTACATTCATGTGTAGTGAGTAGTTACCCATTAGGGTTTGAGATGGGATAGATTAGAGGTTTCATATGCTTAATCCTTCTAGCTTATGGTCTTAATCTAGATTCTCTCTCTTTTGGATAGATCTTAAGGCTACATGACCACTACCCCTGGCTTGTAAGTCCTTAGGCGACTCCCCACACGAAGTGATGGCATTCGCTGGAAAAGATCCACTAAGAGCTCCAATATCTCTTGCTCTAGACAATAGAGGTCTAAGGGGTTGGATGGATTAGTTTGGGCAATGATCCTATAGCCTCCAAGGTTTGATTCTCACTGGCTAACCCCCTGTTTCTGAGATCATTCCTTGGTTGATAGCCTCCACCTTGGGAAAGGGTTGGCTAGGCATTGAGAAGCCCAATATCAAGAGAAGCCTTGATACAAGGAGTTTTAAGAGCTAGATTGATTAAGTGTAGATTCCTTTGATTGCAAAACCCTGTCTTGAACCCTAATTCTCTCTTTATCTTGTTAAAGTCGTCACCTTTAGCTTTGTTTGTCTCAACTCGTCCCTAAACTCGATCGAGCTGGTACTTTGCTCTACTCGACTCGAGCTCTTGGTCGAGCTGACACTTCACTGCTTTGTTTACTTTTATTGCACTGCATTTCTTTTTTAGGTTGTTAGTGTTACTTCAAATCTATAACTGCTTGCTTGACTTCTGGTTGTTTCATATTCTCATAGAGTGACAAGTTTCCCATTTTGGATTGATAACCTCTTATACTTCAATGACTATGATGGTTAAGAGGAATTGTTGACTGTGTTTGTGTTTGCATCTTACCACCTCATCATATACCACTGATTGCATTCCACTCATCTCATTTCATTCTTTTCACACACAAAATCCTATCATCATCGGTAAAAACCCAACACCTTCTACCAAGCTCAACCGTAGAGGCCTCACACACTCAGAAAAATTGAATTGGTTTCAAAGAAAGGTTGGTAAAGGGTGAGGAGATCTACTTGGATCAACAAGAGTGGTGAAAAGGGGTGAAGGGAGATCCAGGTATGCATATGTATCCACGAGTTCTTAGCAAATGCACAAGGATGATATTTAAACATTCAAATTCAGGGATCGATAGGCTGGATGAGAGATCATATCACAACAATGCTTCAGCCAAATCTAGATGTCAAAGAGTGCATTCAAAGTGTGGTTCTTTCTTAACTTCAAGCTCGCTCTATATGCACAAGATGATTCAAAACCGGATCATTGAAACCATTTCGAAAAATCACAACCTCTTATTTCTCATTTTCCTCAATGCAAATGAAATGAGATGCATCTAGACTCAATCGGTTTTCCTTTTGCGCTTGCTTCTCCTCAATGCAGGCTCCGCGGTCTTGGTTGCCTTTGGCGATGTGCACGAGAGTTTGTCCTTCAGGGCATTCACTGTCTCGGTGAGCTTCTTAATCATCTCGTCCTGTTTCTTGCACCACCTTTGAAGCATCCCAATGTGCACATGTGCTTTGGTGATGGCCGGAGTGCTTCCACTTGCGTTGTAAGGGGTGAAGTCAAATTTACCAAACTCGCTTGCTCGTCTCTCCGAAGGCTCGCCTTCCTCTTGCCCTTGCTCTTCGTTAACTGTGGCATCACCTCTATCGATGAACAACTGATCGGCTGTGGGGAGGAACAAGATTCCTCCTCGGCTTTTGTTGCTCGTGAGCTCGACGTTTGGTAAGAGGACTTTCGAGATGCCAAAGGTAAGATGCTCAAAGCAATAGATGTGCTTCCCGTTGTGCATCACCCTCAGGAACCAAGTCTTGTTGAGGTAGGCGATATACATGAACGTGGGTGGATGACTTGACTGTGGTAACTTGACTTTGGTTGCGAGCAGAATCGGAGTGATCAAGATTCCAATATCCAAGTGTGCCTCGTTGATCTTGCCTTGTTCATAGGAGAGCTCCGCGTTCCTCATTATTTGCTTGAAGGAGTTGATCATCACAACAGCTTTGCTCGTGTGCTTCAAGTCTCCTTGCATCTCTTCCCCGTTGTCCAGAGTTTCAAGCTTCTGGATTATGCCGGTGTCAAGCAGCTCAAGCTCTTGCTTGGTGACGTTTGCACGCTCGTGTCTTGCAAAGAGAGTGTGAGCGATCGCCTTATGAGCGTAGCGGATGGCCGGGTTCTTGATGTGACTGGTCTTGTTCTTGGAGATCTGATAGGGACCTCGAGCTTATCATTCCCCAAAGGCTAACTAGCTCTGTTCCTGGCACACACATGCTGAACCGATACTCTTGTCCCAGAAGCGTGAAGGTAATGAATCCAATTCCATCTCTCTTGAGCTCAGCAGCTGCTTCTTGAGGATGTTTCTGAGCTTCAAGGATGCGAGGAACTGTATCGCTGGTTCTCTGTACGCCGGTAGAGCCATCTTCATGAACTCGCCAAGCTCGGTGTAGTAGAAAATGTCCTCCACATCTTCCTCTATTCCCAAGCCCTTATGGTTTCCGGATGTGGATAGCGCATTGACATGAACTGCATCCTCCACAAGATACGGATGCGTTCTTGGACTCCATAAGGTCTTGGGATCACCGAGTCGTCCATGTTCTGCTCAGCAGCCTCTGACCACTTCGGAGCCGATTCTTGCTTGCTCCTTTCTTCCTCTTTCCACTATACTCCACTTTCTTCTTCCCCTCACGTTTTTCCTTTCTTGCTGTCTCCACATCTTCGTTTTGTGCTGGCCTCTTTGTGAATTTAGTCTTTGCCATTGTACCTGAGAGATAAACAATTCTCACAACACAATTAGCCTCTGTTTTGAGAACAGCCAACAAGCAAGAAATCTCAACAAAACTTCTCAATTTAAACCAATTCGATTTGTGCGATTAAGAACAAGCTCAAAAACTTTAAACTCCACCGCTACAAGTTCATGTATCAGGAAATTTTAAAAACATGCCGTGAATTCCGAGATTTTTAGCTAGAAGCTCAAGAACACTTTGAATTTTAAATCTCGGAATCCACTTCAATAGCACGAAATTTCCTACATGCAAGCTCGAATTCGATCTACCCTAGTCACAATAAGCCGGATCTACCCAGAATGGAAACAAACAAGGTTTCTCCAGTGAATTCCCAAAAAGGAAAAATCACAAGAGAAAGGGTGATATTGAGGATCAAATACCTTGATTGGACTATCGGACTTAGATGAATCGAGCTAAACTTGCGAGCGGCGGATTTAAAGAGTTTTGAGCTTTGAAATTCGAATTTGGTTGAGAAACAGAGAAATCCGAGATTTTTGTGTAGAGAATCGGGAAAAAGCTTTGAAGAAGAAGAAACCCAAATTTAAAATAAAAGGGAGAAAGGGTTTCTTCGGGTTTTAAAAATTCAAAAAGAAACGGGTCACTTACTGACGCGGGTTGTCAATCGGATCTTTAAACCGATTAGGAACCTGATTGACAACCCTTGCTTTAGAATTTCACCCGGTTTAGCTGAGAGTATAGGCAAAGGAGTTTTTGATTTGGGCAGTTGTTCTTTGTGCACGAGGACAAGAAATGTCCCTGACAGAACTGCCCATTTCCAACTCCTCTAATTACTCTCAGCTCTCTTCTTGCTCCAACCTACAAAACACACTAGATAAAAGTGAAAAAACTAGAAAGAAAAAGAGCAAGACTATTTACAAAAGGATAGTCATGGGACTTCCTCCCAAGTGAGCTTGTTTTGAGTTCCATAGCTTGACTTTCATTGCCCTTTTTAGGCTTGGGGTGGGTCATGGAGACGGATTGAGCTTCCCTCTCCAATGCTTTGACTCCCATGTACTTCTTCAACCGGTGACCGTAACCGTGAACTCCACTCCATTTTGTTCACTAAAGTGATGGCTCCATAAGGCAACACCTCCTTGACCTTGAATGGTCCTGACCAGCGACATTCAGTTTGCCAGGGAATAGCTTGAGCCTAGAATTGTAAAGGAGCACATCATCCCCTCTTTGAAAACCTTAGGCAGTGATTCTCTTGTCATGGAAGGCCTTAGTTCTCTCCTTGTATATTCTCGAACTTTCATAAGCATCCAAGCGAATCTCCTCTAGCTCGTGGAGGTCCATTTCCCTCTTTTCCTGAGATGTGCTTAGCTCCTTCTTAGGATACTTGATTGCCCATCTAGCTCTATATTCCAACTCAAGAGGCAAATGGCAAGACTTTCCATAGATCAAAGAATATGGAGATCTTCCCAATTGGCGTCTTATAAGCAGTTCTATAAGCCCACAAAGCATCATCCAACTTCTCTGACCAGTCCTTTCCTTGATGAGTTCACTGTCTTGTGGAGTATGGCTTTGATTTGCTTGTTAGACCTCCACTTGACCACTAGTTTGAGGGTGGTAGGGTGTAGCTATCTTGTGTTTCACCCCATACTTTTTCAAAAGGTTTTCAAACACCTTATTGACAAAGTGAGAGCCTCCATCACTGATCACACACCTCGGGACCCCAAACCTCGGAAAATGATAGTCTTGAACAGCTTGAGGACTACTTTGGCATCGTTGGTGGGTGCGGCTATGGCTTCCACCCATTTTGAGACATAATCTACAGCAACTAGTATGTAAGCGTTTCCATGAGAGGCTGGGTTAAATGAGCCAACAAAGTCTATTCCCCACACGTCAAACACCTCAACTTCCAAGATAGGATTCTGAGGCATCTCGTTTCTCGCCGTGATGTTCCCTGCCTTTTGACAGCCTCACACTTAGAGATGAAAGCATGTGCATCCTTGAACATACTTGGCCACCAAAACCTGCTTGTAACACTTTCTGGACCGTTTTGAAAACCGCAAAGTGGCCTCCATAGCTTGAACCATGGCAATGGAATAGAATCCCTTCAACCTCTTCTTTAGCTACACATCTTCTGAACAAGTTATCATTCCCTTTTCTGAACAAGTAGGGCTCATCCCAGTAGTAGTGAACCACATCTTTGAAGAACTTCTTTCTCTGATAACCACTCCATCCACTTGGAACTTCTCTGCACACCAAGTAGTTCACAAAGTCTGCGTACCACGGAACCTCCTCTCCTCTCGCTATTCACTCTTCTTCCAGCCGGCACTTGGTTAAGTAACCTCTATCCACGATCTTGGCAGCCATGAGTTGCTTCTGGTAAAGAGTCATCGATGGGAACATCTCCCTTCAATCCTCAATCTTGATAGATGATCAGCCACGCTGTTCTCGGTGCCTTTCTTGTCGACTATCTCGATATCGAACTCTTGAAGCAAGAGAACCCATCTCAGCCTAGGTTTCACATCTTTCTTGGTGTACAGGTACTTGAGAGCTGCGTGGTCAGTGTGAACGATGACCTTTGACCCACAATGTAGCTCCTGAACTTGTCAAAAGCAAACACCACGGCTAGTAACTCTTTCTCCGTTGTTGCGTAACGGGTTTGAGCATCGTCTAGCGTCCTACTTGCATAGTAGATGACGTTCATCTTCTTATCCACCTTCTGACCAACACTGCTCCAACCGCGAAGTCCGAGGCATCACACATGATCTCGAAAGGCAAGTCCCAATTCGGAGCTTGGACAATTGGTGCGCTAACAAGGGCTTCCTTGATCTTCAAGAAAGCTTGGCTACACTCTTCATCAAAGATGAACTCTGTTTCTTTGCATAAGAGTCTTGTGAGTGGCCTCGCTATCTTTGAGAAAAATCTTAATGAAACGCCTGTAGAAACCCGCATGTCCCAAGAAGCTTCTCACATCCTTGACTGATTTTGGCTCCCCAAGTTGCACCATACTTCTATCTTTGCCTTGTCCACTTCAATGCCTTTCTCTGAGATCTTGTGGCCAAGGACTATCCCCTCTTTCACCATAAATGCACTTCTCCCAATTCAGACCAAGCCTGTTCTCTTCACACCTTTCCAGCACCCTACAAATTAGACAAACAAGAGGAAAAAGAAGAGCCATAGACCGAGAAGTCGTCCATGAAGACCTCAACCATTTCCTCTATTAGATCCGAAAAAATTGAAAGCATGGCTCTTTGAAACGTTGCTGGGGCATTACATAATCCAAACGGCATTCTTCGATAGGCGAAGGTGCCGTATGGACATGTAAACGTGGTCTTTTCCTGGTCGTTTGGATGGATTGGAACCTGGAAAAAACCACTGTAGCCATCCAAGAAACAATAAAATGGATGGCATGCCAACCTTTCAAGCATTTGGTCAATGAATGGCAAAGGGAAATGATCTTTTCTTGATGATAAGCTTACGATAGTCTATGCACATTCTATGTCCAACTATTGTCCTACTTGGGATCAATTCATTCTTTTCGTTCTTGATGACAGTAATCCCACCCTTTTTTGGGACACAATGTACTGGTGAAACCCAAGTACTGTCCGAAATAGGGTAGATGATTCCTGCATCAAGAAGCTTTAAGATTTCTTTCTTTACCACTTCTTTAAGATTGGGTTTAACCTACGCTGATGTTCAATGGATCCCTTTGATTCATTTTCTAGATGGATCCTGTGAGTGCATAGAGTAGGGGAGAGACCCTTGATATCCTCCAGCGAATATCCAAGAGCTCTCCTGTACTTGCGCAGCTCAACAAGAAGGGTTTCAAGCTCATGAGGGGTTAATGCATCATTGACAATGACAGGATATGTGGAGTTAGAGCCTAAGAACGCATACCTGAGCCCCTTTGGGAGAGGTTTAAGATCGACCTTGGGAGCCTTTAAGCTCGGACCAGTCATCGTTTGTGCTCTGCTCTTGAGAGCTCTCCTCTCTCGGTTTAGACTCTAGAGCAAACAGGTTCTCAACCCGATTGTCATCCCGGATGCTCTCTGTTTCTGATGACCCAACTCCTCAAAGCCCATATCTTCTTTTACTGCTCTGTGTGAGTCCATAAGCCAAGCATAACCCATACTCTCTGCTTGTAGACACCCAAATGCCTCGTTATCCTTAGTCAGAGCCAACTGCAGCTTATCCTCGACACCAATTCTTCCAAATAGTCATCGGCTAGCTGCTCAAGTGTTTCAATGTAAAATGACTCGCCATTGATGGTTGGTTGCTTCATAACATCTTTTACATTGAACACCATCTTGCAGTCTTGACCCAAATTCAGCTCAATCTTGCCTCTTCTCACGTCTATTATAGCTCCAGCAGTGGCAAGGAAAGGTCTTCCCAAAATAATGGGTCTTTGGGTTCTTCATCCATCTCCACTACCACAAAGTCAGTTGGAACTATCATGTTTCCCACCTTGAGTGGCATATCTCAAGCATGCCTACTGGAAGCTTAACTGATCTATCAGCAAGAATCAAAGAGAAATGACATTCCTTGTATATCTCAAAACCCAAACGCCTTGCACAGTCAAAGGCAGAATGCTCACACTTGCTCCCAAATCGCATAAACTCTTCTTGAAAGCTAATGGTCCTAAGGAACAGGGAAGAGTGAAGCTTCCAGGATCTCCTAGCTTCTTGTTACAGCCTTGCTTTGAATTATAGCACTACACTCTTGAGATAAGACCACCATGCCTTGCACTTCTTTGGTTCTCTCCAAAATGGCATCTTTCAAAAATTTCTGATAAGGCTTGATCATCATGAGAGCGTCTATAAAAGGGATCTTCAGATTGATCTCAGACATTTGCTGATCAAAGACTTTCCTGCATTTTCTGCCATTTGCTTCTTGAACCTTGTTGGAAAAGGCAAAGTTGGTTTGAATAGTGGAGGAACAAAAAGAGTTTCCCTTCCTCTTCTTGTTGACTTTTGATGGCTCTGCTGCACTCCTCTCTGGTTCACAGGCTCTGGTTCCACTGATTCCTTTCTCAACACTCTTCAGCTTCAATGTCGACTGACTCCTCCTCCTCTTGAATCGCAATGTCCTCATTGCTTCTTGTCGGTACAACTCTCAGGAAGAACTTCCACTCTTAAGAGTAATTGCTTGCACATACTCTTTGGGGTTTGTAATTGCTTTTCCAGGAAGCATACCCTTTGAAGAAGATGGAATGTTGTGGCTCTTAGCTTCCAATGTTGAACTTTGAGTTCAATGATTCCAACTTCTTGTTGAGATCATTGTAAGAGCAGTCTACTTTGTTGTTATCTCCGCTAGCTTGGTGTTGAGCTCGGTAGCTCCACTGGCTTGTCCTTTGATAAGTTGTTGAAGCATTGTCTTCATGTCAGATCTTGACTTGAGCTACTCCCTGCTTGAGCTGAGTAGAGCCTTGATTATGATTACCAAAAACCTTTGGTGGGTAACCTCGCTTGAAGTACACGGTTTGTTGTCCTCCTTGGTTTTGGTTGTTGAGGTGGATACACTTGATCTTGAGGATTCTCAAAATTAGTGTTGCGATAGGAGAGGTTCGTGTTGTTGTTTGTATTATACCCTTTGTAGTAACCTCATTGGTTGCTCATGTAGCACACTTCCTCTGTTTGTGGATCCTCCTCCTCTTGGTTCACGTCATCTTCACAAACAAAGTGAACCTGCTTTTGCTGTCCAGTCAAGATCTTGTCAAGCTTGTCATTCAGGGTCTTGAGCTCTTTTCTGTGCTTTTCATCTTGGACTGAGTTTCCTCTGTCATTGCGGTCATACTCCTCAGAATAGTTCCCATCACCAAGCGCAATATTCTCGACGAGGATGAGACCTTCATCGACATCCTTTCCCATGAAGTGACCATTGCTTGCTAAATCCAAATGCATCTTGGTAAGGCTCCTCTGTAAAGTGTACTTAGGAGGTTCTCTTTGGAGAAGCCATGGTGTGGACACCTCATTTGATAACTATTGAAACGCTCATAAGCCTCAGCAAATGTTTCACCCGTTAGTTGACTGAAACTCGCAATCTCATTCCGCAACTGAGCTGTACGTGAAGTCGGGAAGAATTGGCCAAAAATGCGTGTTTGCATTGCTCCCATGTCGTGACTGTTCCCGGTTGGATTGATGATTCCCAAGCTAGAGCCTTTCCTCCCAAGGAAAATGGGAACAATCTCAGTTTGAGACCATCTTCTGTCACGTTGTTGATCTTTTGCAAAGCACATATCCGATCAAACGTTTCTAGGTGCTTCAGGGATCTTCATCTTTCATCCCATGAAAGATTGAATTCTCACCAAGTTTATCAAGCTCGTCTTGATGTCGAAGTTATTGTTGGGAACCGGTGGTGGGGTAATGTCGGGGCGGTTTTCCGGAATGTTGGTGTGTCGCGGCTCCGATTAGTCGCGCCGGACGTTGAGCATGAACCGGAATCCCTGGTGGTGGATTCACTCCCGGTGGAGGAGCTCCTCCGGCGTTAGCTGCCATTGTATCAGAATCAGAGTCGGGTTCTTGCAAATCTACCTCAGAAGTCGACTCTCGTTCAGCTCTGTTTCTTGCTCTGCGTTCTCGCTTCTCACGCTCGGCTCGCTGAAGCTCGTGTGGACTTAACAAGTTCGAACTTCCACGAGAGCGTGTTTGCATACACCTGATTACAAAGCAGAGCAAATCCCAGGCAGATTAGATACAATAGACTATTAAAAATCAAAACTTGAACTCGAAATTTTTCCAAATCGAAAAAGCCCAATCAAAATCTCTAAGATTGGCAACGGCGCCAGTTTGAAAACATGATTTTTCACAGATTCAAACTCTATCCCTGCTCATATCATTGCAGTGTAGTAAAGGTATCAATCCAAATCAAAGAGAGATTGGGGTCTTAACCGAATGCAAGAAAAGCTCAAGTCAAGAACAAAGACTTGGTTTTTAAGAAATCCGAAAGTTTCAACAGTAAAATAACGAACTAGAACAGTAAATTAACGGTCCAAACTAGAATCGAAGACAAAGGTTTGAACTTTCAATTAAAACATTGGAACTTTATTAAAGGAAATGAAGAAAGGCGATGGCTTTAGGCGATTGCAGTTGAAAATCAAGCTAAAGGAGAGACTTTTGGGCATAGAGACTAAGACCAGCTTCTAGGCTAAGGAAAACAGAAGTAAAAACTCATCACTATCGTGAATGAGCTTGAATGTAAGGTCTAGGCTCAAGAACTTGACTATCGTCAGTGAACACGGACTCAAACAAGCATTAAGCTTAGATCCCAACACCAAAGAACCCCCTAAACAATCGCTATCGCGAGCTAGGAGAATAGATCCCTCGACTTAGATTATCTGACTCTCTAACACACTTTTTCTGTGTAGAGAGCTTGAGAGTCAAGATGATCAGAAAAGACCCAGCCTTAAGGGCACTAAGCGAGGAGAAGCTCTAAAAGGTCATAGCTTTAAACGCAAAGCTCCCCTTTAAACTCTCAAAACCACAACGCCTAAAACAATCTAAGGACTACTCACTCATCCTGTTTAACAAACCGATTCCCATAGAGGAAAGGTTTTTAAACAAGTAAGTAAGATGAAATGAACAAAGAAATGAACAAGTACGTGATTTAGATTAAAAGGGAAAGAGATCCAAGCTTACAAAGTCTAAGATCTCAAACGAGAGTATTTCTTTGGTGGCAAAATGAAAGACAAATTACAAGGTGCCTAAAATTTTAGGACTTTTAAGTTTATATAGTGGAGACTCTAAAACCCTTCTTCTTTCCGTCCCCAAGATTTCGGCTTCAAAACTCGGCGTTTCACTTAGTCTTGATATGTCTTGACTAAAGTCAACTCCCTTCTTGGTCAAGGAAAGCTTACAAGGCGAGAATCGGGTTTCCTGATCCTGGTTGACATCCTGGTTGCTCTCTGCTTTGACGTCTCCAACACTCCATAATCCCAATTGGCTCCAAAGCTCCCCAAAGTACCTGATTTAGACTCAAAATGCAATGTGTATGCAATGCAAGTGCCAAAAGAGGTACAAGTGTATAGATAGAGATATGTGGACTAAATGTATGCAAATGAGACTTAAATGGTGTAAATATGCATGTAAAAGTATGCTAAAATGTGTAATATATGGATATATCAACAGGGTAGGTCGAGTTTTCACCCAGAAACGCATACCTGAGGCCCTTGGGCAAAGGTTTGAGGTCCACCTTAGGTGCCTTGAGTTCAAACCAATCTCCTTGAGCTTGTTCCTTTCATCCGATGTCTAGCTCGATCGAGCTTGCTTGTTCATTCCCTGACTCGATCGAGTTCTCGGTCGAGCTCACTGCCAGAACTTCACAAAGCGGTTCGTCTAACTCCACAATGCAAAAGATGTTCGGAACCGGTCTGAAAGTGTCAAGGAGCCTAGAATACTCCTCAGTTTCTGAATGTAGATACCCTTCAGATTGATCCATGGTGAGAGCAACTTGCAAGTGATCTTCCAAAGACACTTCCTCCAAAAGTTCATCCGCCAACTGATCCATTTCTTCAATGTAAAAGAGTTGACCTTCTATTGTTGGCTTCCTCATTGTATCCTTGATGTCAAACTTCATCTTTAGGTCTTTTCCAAGGTTCAGTTCTATTGTACCTTCACAGACATCTATCATTGCTCTTGTTGTAGCTAAGAAAGGTCTCCCTAGTATCAAAGGGTCTGTTGGTTATTCATCCATTTCAAGCACAATGAAGTCAGTGGGGATTTCAACATTCCCTATCCTCAAACGTAGATCTTCAAGCATCCCAGTAGGCAGCCTTATTGATCTATCCGCACAAACAAGTGAGATTCCGCAGGCTTGATACTTGTGATAGCCCAATCTCTTCGCCACTGGCAGAGGCATAAGGCTGACTGATGATCCTTGGTCGCAGAGGCTGTTCTTCAAGGATAGAGGTCCTAGCATGCAAAGCAATGTAAAAATCCCCAGATCTTCCTTTTTGTCGGAGATAACCTTTCGTTGAAAGATTGCACTGCATTCACAAGTCAAAATCACCATTCCTTGCACCTCCTTAGTCCTTTGAAGTACAACATCCTTCTGGAACTTCTGGTAGGGTGGAATGAGCATTCGACAACAGATTCAGATGTAGGTCTCAGTTTTCCAGATGCCGTGTTTTAAACTTAATCCCTTGGAGGATTGAAATCATCTTATTCTTCCTAATCGCTTACCAAATTTGATTTGGTTTGTTTTGTAGGTGTCCTAATCTTGAGGTACTTTGTGTTAAGTATAGCCCAAAAGTTACAAGTTAAGTCGATGAACTTGATAGCCTTAAACTGTCATAAACTTAAGGAACTTGATATAAGTTGCTCTTATGAAATATCTTGCCTGTGTATCGAAATGGTGGCTAAGAATTGCAAGAATCTTGAGATTCTAAAACGGAATATGATGGATCCTTGCGAGGTCGAGAGATTAGAGTACACGAGGTTCGTGCCTCAGAACTATTTGGATAACAACCCTATCGACATTTATAGGAATGTTGATGCTCATACAATTGTGAAACACATGCGACATCTGAATCTGAAGCACTTGGAACTTCGATTCTCCACATTGACTGATAAAGCTTTTGACAGACTTTGTAAAGCTTGCTCGAGTCTAGAGTATCTTGACTTGTTCGGGTGTAAAAACTTAACTAGCGATGGTGTGTCTAACAGTACCTCGCGCTTGAAGAATTTGAAGAAGCTCAAGAAACCAAATTTTACAGCTATATAATACTTTGACTGAATTCATTTGTTTTGTGCTATACGTATCTTTTTTCCTTTGGTTATATTCAGTAAAGTCTGTTAAGCTGTTTTGGCACTCACTCGTCCCTAAGTTAAGCAAGTTTTCACAAGCTTGTTCCTCATCGAATGGTTGAACGTCCTAAGTTTATAGTTGAGATTTGTAAACGTCCTAAAATGGTTGAACGTCGAATCATTTATCGGCTTAAAAGTCCACAGAGATTTGACTTTTCACCTTGAGGCGAAGATTATTCGTAAGTTCTTACTTGAAAGGATCAAAACGACCAAGCTCTCTAACTATCGTAGTCAATTAGTTCTTCTGCGTTGTCCATCAGATGGGACAACCAGATTTCGTTGTCCATCAGATGGAACAAGCAAATTCCAACATGATGGGATCAAGGTGTTTCAAAAATAAAACATGATGGGATGGGGTCCATCCGTACTCGGCCCTAACTGGACTGAGTTGACTCTGGAATGTCTGCTGAATCTAAGATAACACTAGTAAAGACGGGATACCAAAGATGTGAGTTTAAGGAACTGGGTGCTTGATTAACTCGAAGAATATCAAAGATGTTACAAAGGAAGTGGTCTCGTCAACAGGCCTGACGAGACGAACAATAGCGAACAAGAGGAAAAACAAGGAGAGTTCTAATGCCTAGATTTCTTTTAGCTGAATTGCTGGTGATTCTGAATGATTCCCGGATATGCTGGATGCCTTTCCACGAATGGAGAGTCTTTATTATATAGTGTTGATAGGTCGGCTTCTTGATGAATATTTTCCTTCCGGCGAGATGGAAAACTTCCTCTTTTGCGATATGGAAAACTTCCTCTTGTTCTCGATTTCCTTCCATTCCTCAAGTCAGCATGAGACTTTGTTTACATTTCCTCATGGATTGTGCCTTTCTTCTCAAGTCTTGCCATATTGTTGAGGAGGTTAGGGCTAAAGTCGGATTGGGCTTTATGATTTTACTAATGGTGACGGGCTCAAGGAAATGTGCTAATTTCACCTCTAACAATGTTTCATCGACATATTCTCACGGCTGAGCATGGAGCAAAGATCCACCGGACCATTTCTGGTCTGCAAGACGTGGATGGACGTGTGCAAAAGACCCGTCGTTCAGCTTGGTCTTCGATCTGGAAGATAAATTTCTGTCTCTCCCTAATTCGAACAGCTGGTTGTGGGGTCCAGAATTCGAGGATGGCACTGTACGGATCGGTCGATCTCATATGTTGCTGAGAGGTACGTCACATTTTCGATATGCCCTGTTTTACAATTTATCCCATGGAAGATTGAATTGATTAGATTTGGTTTGTTTTGTAGGTGTCCTAATCTTGAGGTACTTTGTGTTAAGTATAGCCCAAAAGTTACGGATAAGTCGATGTGGGAGATAGCCATAAACTGCCCTAGCCTTAAGGAACTTGATATAAGCTGCTGTTACAAAATATCTAGTGAGTGTATCAAAATGGTGGTATGAATTGCAAGAACCTTGAGATTCTAAAACGGAATATGATGGATCCTTGCGAGGTGGAGAGGTTAGAGCACACGAGGCTCGTGCCTCATACCTATGTGGAGAAAACTGCTATCTACATTTATGGGAATGCTGATGATCATACAATTGGGAGACACATGCGACAGCTGAAGCATCTGGAACTTCGATTCTCCCCAATGAACGATAAAGGTCTTTCCTTTCTTTGTAAAACTTGTTCGAATCTAGAGTATCTTGACTTGTTCGGGTGTAAATACTTGACTAGCGTTGGTGTTACTAACAGTATCTCACGTCTCACGTCTCAAGAATTTGAAGGTTATCAAGAATCCAAGATTTACAAATTTGTAATAATATAGTACTTTGATTGAATTCTTTTTTATACACAAAAGGCGTTTATATTCCCATAGTACTTTGATTGAATTCATATATATTCTAGTGTGTTATACCGTAAGTATTTTTTTTTCCTTTTTATACATTTAAGTGCTGTCTTTGTTTCGTTTTTTTAATGGTTTTCTGAATTTTTTATGTGATTAGTTTTATATTTGACAACAGCGGTAAAAGACAAATTCAAAAACAAAAAAAAAGAACAAAAAACTTGGTGAGGATCTTATTATCGATCTTATACTATTTGTTTAAAAATATCCTTTTAGAATATAAGTTATTTTTTTTTTAAATATTGTTACAACAAAGCAAAGGATGTTTGTGTTGTGTCCTGTCCCAAAACAGAGAAGGCCTATGAGCCTCAAGGCCCCATCATCAACTTACTGCAACGTTAAGATCAGTCACTCTTGCCGAAGATCAAGCCAGTTTTCACAAGCTACTTCGTCATCATAGAAGGCAGAGCGAATCATCTTCTGGATAACTGATTCTGCTTTCTCTGTCTCCTTTGTCAAACACCTTGCAAAACAACATTTTACAATACTCAAATGCAGAGCCGCTGTAGTGTTAAAAAAAGTGCATTTTCACTAGACCCCCAAGATATATATTTATAAAGGCCCCCAATTAACAAAAACTTATCATATCTTAGTGGTTTCAGTAGTTTCATATGAGGTGCATTACCCGAGTTCAGCTTCCTTCACATTCTTGCTTTTATTATTATTATTTTTTAATTTAAATTTTTAATAAAAAATATTAATATTCAACAGGCCCCTTTTTAAAAATTTCCGTAAGCCCCCCAAATGGCGGTGAGTGACCACAACAGATCATATCCTCCACAATCTTCAGAGCCTCACCATACTTTTGCATCTTGCAGCAACAACCAACAAGTGCAATAAATGAAAGTGCATGGGGTACCGACGCGGACTGTGAATGATACAAAAAGTAGTACAAGCATAAATAGTAGTAAAGACACATAAAGTTTTTATCGGGTTCGTTTCCTACATCCCGGGACCTCGTCCAGAATCCACTAGAACAAGATTGCAATTACATTGCTATGGTATCCATCACTACAATGCCTACCATTCTCTCCTAGATGGATACATTCAAACAATGCCCTTAACCCTTTGTTTGGTCTTCCTACTAGAACCCCAAAACCTTATGCTAAGGCATCTTCGAATGTAATGGGTTGAGCACATCCAATGCTCTCCACGCCCTATTTATCCACAATAGGTACGCTTTGAAACCCTTCAAGATTTCTCCCTTGGTGATCACTCCAAATCTCCAAGAGAATATCTTTCCTTATTTTTCTCTAGGAAAAGGAAATATTCCTAGTTGCTTGATAGCTTCGAATCTCTTCGTCCAACTTAGCTCTTGACTCTTCTAGAATCTTCTAGACTCGCCTCCTCAGCTACAAGCATATGTCCAGCCCATCAGATCGATTCCTTAAGCCCATCTGCTGAACACGACTCTCTGTACTACTTCTTGACTGATACATGAAGTCCTTCATTCAACTGTATCTTCACCTGTTATGACATGTTCTAAAACTCGGTCAGCACTGCATCAACAATCTCTCCCTTGATGATTGAGTTTTAGAATCATGGCATAACCCTTCACGAGTATGATGATCTTCTAACTCTCCCTTAATTGTACACCATCTCATGGCATAACCAATCCCGAGCATGATGATCTTCTAGCTCTCCCTTAATTGAACACCATCGATTTTCTTGATTCCTCCAACACTCTCTCCCTCTTTGACCATGGTTGTGAACTCAGCAATTATAGCTCCATAATAATTCTCCCCCTGCTTGAGTTCATAACTGATCAAAGTTAATTGCTGAAGCATCTCCGCTCTTGAGGTTGATGGTCCTTCTTGAAGCGCCATGATGTACTGGGAATTCGCTCTTGGTAACCCTCCATCTTCTCCGCAGGAATCTCCCTTGTTTGCAGCTTTGCAATATGCACAAGAGCCCGCTCCGATACCAATTGAAAGTGCATGGGGGTACTGACGCGGACTGTGAATGATACAAAAAGTAGTACGAGCATAAATAGTAGTAAAGACACATAGAGTTTTTTATCAAGGTTTGTTTCCTACATCCCCGAACCTCGTCCAGAATCCACTAAAACAAGATTGCAATTGCAATTGCTATGGTATCCAGCACTACAATGCGTACCATTCTCTCCTAGATGGATACACTCAAACAATGCCCTTATCCCTTTGTTTGGTCTTCCTACTAGAACCCCAAAACCTTATGCTAAGGCATCTTCGAATGTATGGGTTGAGCACATCCAATGCTCTCCACGCCCTATTTATCCACAATAGGAACGCCTTGAAACCCTACAAGGTTTCTCCTTGGAGATTACTCCAAATCTTCTTAAGAATATCTCTTTCCTTATTTTTCTCTCGGAAAAGGAAATATTCCTAGTTGCTTGATAGCTTCGAATTTCTTCGTCCAACTTAGCTCTTGACTCTTCTAGAATCTTCTAGTCTCGCCTCCTTGATGATAGGATTTTGCGTGGATGTGATATGATATGAATGAAGGATGATAAGATATGAGGTGGAATGCAAACAGGGGTGAATAAGATGAATGGTATGGTGCAATCACAATCAATCAATTCCTCTTAACCATCATAGTCATTGAAGTATAAGAGGTTATCAATCCAAAATGGGAAACTTGTCACTCTATGAGAATATGAAACAACCAGGAAGTCAAGCAAGCAGTTAAAGATTTGAAGTAACACTAACAACCTAAAAAAATGAAAAGCAGTGCAATAAAAGTAAACAAAGCAGTGAAGTGTCAGCTCGACCAAGACTCGAGTCGAGTCAGACAAAGTACCAGCTCGATCGAGTTTAGGGACGAGTTGAGACAAACAAAGCTAAAGGTGACGACTTTAACAAGATAAGAGAGAATTAGGGTTCAAGACAGGGTTTTGCAATCAAAGGAATCTACACTTAATCAATCTAGCTCTTAAAACTCCTTGTATCAAGGCTTCTCTTGATATTGGGCTTCTCAATGCCTAGCCAACCCTTTCCCAAGGTGAGGCTATCAACCAAGGAATGATCTCAGAAACAGGGGGTTAGCCAGTGAGAATCAAACCTTGGAGGCTATAGGATCATTGCCCAAACTAATCCATCCAACCCCTTAGACCTCTATTGTCTAGAGCAAGAGATATTGGAGCTCTTAGTGGATCTTTTCCAGCGAATGCCATCACTTTCGTGTGGGGAGTCGCCTAAGGACTTACAAGCCAGGGGTAGTGGTCATGTAGCCTTAAGATCTATCCAAAAGAGAGAGAATCTAGATTAAGACCATAAGCTAGAAGGATTAAGCATATGAAACCTCTAATCTATCCCATCTCAAACCCTAATGGGTAACTACTCACTACACATGAATGTAAACACAAGCAAATGCAATAAAAGAGACATCATAAGAAAGAGGAGATGAAATAAACAACTTTTATTGAAATAAGCAAGTGCAAATACAAAGAGAGATTATCCAGGATCTAGGATTCAAGAAGCAAGAGCTTCAAGAACACAAAGATGGGATTAGATCTCTAAAAAGTAAAAGACAATAAATTAAAAGAAACTAAAACAAAATAATCTAAAGCTTGGTGGTTTTTTCGTGGCTTAGAGCCTTTAAATACAAGAGGATTAGGTTTAGGGTCAAAGGAAAGTCAAGGGGGAAGCAACATTTTTCGGGTTTGACTGTTGACTTCTCAGCTCGATCGAGTTGAAGCTTGGCCGGTCGAGTTGAGGAACTCGACCGGTTGGTCGAGTAGACGGTCGAGCTGGTCTTCAAGATGGCTTCTCCCTTCTTCCTTTGCGTATCCAGTTGAGCTGCTTCCATGTGCCAAGTCCCTCCATGCTCCTCATGTCCCATATGCTCCAGAATGCTCCAAAAGACCTATTTCAAAGGACCAAACATGCATATGTATGCAAATGCAACCTAAAACTAACATGAATGCATAAGAAGAGAAAAGGAACAAGATATGATGCAAATGGAGCTAAAACTATGCAAAAGATGCATAAAAGATGTGCTAAAACTATGTAAAATGCAAGTACATCAACACCCCCAAACTTGAACTTTGCTTGCCCTCAAGCAAACAAATAGAACAAGAAAGAGATGAGGTTTGAAAAAAGCTGATTCAACACTTAAAAACATGTCCTCAAAAGCGATTTGCTAAATGTCCAACTTAGAGATTCTAGAATGCAACAAGGTGAGAGATATTCATTAAGATTTAACCATGCTTATCAACATCAATCCCACTTCACAGTCACTCAAACAATGCATTCAAATCAGCAAATCCCTTTAACATTCATTAAGCAAAAACAGTGAACCAAAAACATGCAAGATCAATCAACTCATTTGGTTTCAAGGGTTTATGGGTTAAGAGACAAAGAGGGTCTCTTTTGTATGGTGGTTTAGTAACAGGGATCTCTCAAGAAAGTGGCTTTGCTTTGGCAGAAGGCTAAGTGTTAGAACCAAAGATGATGCAAGAACAGCAGCTCGAGCCGCCTAATCCTAACTCGATCGAGTTCAACACTTAGAGCTTTTTAGAACAAAATCCTAACTACCCTTTTTGGCATTTCGCCTTTGAAACTGAGGAGCTTTGCTCACTTTTCTTTTAAGAACTTCCTAGGGAGAGGCTTCTTGAGGTAACATCTAGCGGTTTGGGATTTTCTAAACACTTAGGGAACTTTTCTTCTTTTTGACACTTGAGGCTTTGCCTTCTTTTCATTCTACTTAGAACCCTTTTTACTTTCCTTTTTTAACTTCCCAAACCTTTACTAGACCCTTTTTAACACTGCCAACTCCCTGGACTTAACCAAACTCTTTTTCCTTTGGGTTTTTCCCAACTTTTACCACTTTTCTGGTTTT